TACTGGAAGCGGCCGGATTCACGGTCCGGTAGTCCGACCCTTACGTGCATTAATGCTCTTTCTGCGCTGTCATCATGTCCTAATGCTCTGGCCTAGTTCTCAGATTGTTTCTCCGTTCACGGTGGATTTGGGGTGGCAACTGCCCCTGAAATGTCTTTGATTGCCTTTCACACCCCTACGTCATTCTCTCTGCCTCGATGCTGTCGCTCTTCCAACGTTACGGGGCTGAGGCTCTGGCGCAGGCTAAATATAATCGTGACTTCGTGGCTCTTAGGCAATCCTCGATATACAAAGGTTCACTCTTTTCGTATAAGAGACTGCCGCAGGAGGATGACGCAGGGTACTATGGCTCTAAACGCTGCTTGTGGAATTACGTTGGAGCTGTGTTTGGCGAGGTGGCCTGTGTTTACGGTGACGTGGTGCGACTCTTTTGTATGTCGACTTTTGTGCACGCTGACGAAACCTCAAAGTCCGGTGGGATGGTCTATGTTCGGATGAAATGTCCGGATAACCCGTCGTGCGCGGTCGCACGTATGTATTCAGACCAAGAGGAAACCATGCGTGAAGTGCTGTTCACGGACCAAACCGAACTGGTACGTTGTTTATTGTTTTCATCTTGGAGCACCTGTTTAACCGAACCGAAGGATGGTTCCGTCAAATCCTCGTTCTTCGATTACAGCGCAATCTGCTTCGACTTGCGGTATAACCCCGGTTCTTTCTATGTAAGAGTGGATGTCGATTCAAGAAATATTGCGGGTCTTGTTCCCGGGGCGCATGTCGTCCTCAAAGTCACTATGACGAGGATCGACATGCCTCATCGCGAGACAGGAGACATGACCAGGGTACGTTCTCACCCGCTCAGTTGATCACGTACTCATTCGACTCAGAGCTATTCGTTGGACGTGCTGGCGTTCCGGACACACAAGTTTGGATACATTCCGTCCAAAGCGGTGGAAGGCTACACGTGTGATATCAACGGTGTTATAGGATGCGAACTTTGTGCCAATTAAGCAATCCATTATGATCAGGTTTTCGATTGGTTTTTTCTTTTTTTCTTGGTTTTTTGATGATGGACGTCTGGATGCGCCCCTGTGAATACTCCTGACCGCGTGCTCCTTGACTATGCTGCTCGCTCATCTCAAGGCGAACTCGTCGTTCACTCTCGCTCAAGCCCGTTACGGTAGAGACTTCGTCCCTACCAGGGAAAGGACTGAAAGCTGTGCTTCTGTCTATACTTTCAAGAGCACCAGGGATCATCTCAACTACGACCCTGTCTCCGAGGTGAAGAACATCTCGCGCAAATACTTGTCCACTGTATTTGGGGCGATCCGCAATGTCATGGACGCTGTACGTGGATCAACGTCTTGAAGCTAAGTCTGAAAGTTTGACTACAGGGAGACGGCATTCATTTAGTGGTGCGAGTCCAATGTCTGGGGGGCATTAGTTGCGACGCACAAGCCATGTATTTCAAACAAATTCGCCGGATGAAAGCAATTATAGATAAAGACAGTCAAAGCACAGTGAGTTCGGTCATACGTCACCGCATGCATCCTGAAATTTTGTATTAAATTCGTGCCTGCAGCCGGGAGCCGTCAGCGTTACTTGGTTCGACAGGACATCGGTGGATGGGCTCGGAGGTCGGCCAAAAAATGGGAAATTCTTTGTACGTGCTGTAATAAAACTGCGACGACCTTTTTCACACAGGCACAGGTTGTGATTCGCACTCATTCCGCTTCCGAATTTGAATTGGCAAAGAAAGCTTTCTGGACCACTGAGATTGCTGAAAAGATCGTGCGGTTCGTGGTGTCAATGGAACGCCGCGACACGAGCGAGTCGGTGAAGGCGAGTCATATTAAATTTTGTGCGCTGAGTCTAATGTTTTCGGCCCGGCAGTCTTATACGATGTTCGTGGGCCGGTACGAGGTACAACCCGAAACTTGCCTGCCGAGGGTTGAGGCAGGTTATAGCTGCGACATCGCTAAGCCTGATTGTCAGTTCTGCAAGAAACGGCGGGCGAAACTGGGGGTGTAATTGAGATACAGTACCGTCCCATCCTTTCCTTATATTCTGTTTCACTGTGATCGTAAATCCAGCCGGCGTTACCGTGATTTGAAAATGTTTTTGGTGGCGTGACTCAGAACTCTTTCACTCCTACGATGTCGTCTCCGCCTCTTCTCGACCGAACGGCGTCCATCGCTCCTGAAACGATCGAGTTGATTTTCCGGGAATATGTCGACCCGTTGGGCTCGCCCTGGCTGGGTGTAACGAACTGCCGCAGGACGTTAATGTTGGTGTGCAGGCGATGGAGGGACATAGCTGAAGCAGATTATGCCCTTTGGTCCGAGGTTTCTCTGGAGCGGTTCATGAAGCGCGAGTACCTCCAGCTCTGTCTGCGCCGAACGGCCTGCTCGGCGTTGACCGTCCGGCTCTGTACGCGAGTCAGGGGGTACATCGAGGACGAACGTGTGGGGAAGCAGCTAACCTCAAAGTCGCTGGAAGAATACAAGGCACGAACTCTTAGCGTGCTCGACGGTCTCGGAAAACGTATAACCAAACTTCATATCGAGGCCGAGAGCGACTCAGTCGTCCAACTCGTATTGGACGGTATTTCTCGATACGACTCGTTTGACCTGCGTTTCCTGGAGATTCGCGTCTTTAATCCCCTGGAACCCCACACCTCCGTTCCGCCATCTCTGCCGAAAGGGAGTAAACCGAAGCAGTTGAGACTCCATGGCACTCGCCCACACTGGACGGTGCCCGACGTCTATGGCTCCCTGACGAAAATCGTCCTAGTCGATTTGTGGGAAGATGTGGATCTGCAATGGCTGCAGCTCCACTCCGTACTTCACGCCAGCGTCAACCTCACAGAGTTGTTCCTCGTGGACGTCATGTGTGCGGGGTACATGGGTGGGGCGCCCGTCATCTTGCCATCCCTCAAAACGCTGGGCTTGAAGTATAGCAACGAGAACTGCGTCCCATTCCTGGGCAACGTACAGCTCACTTCCCTCGACACCCTCGAGTTATATTCGCGCGGCGACGCGACGTTGGACCCCATCCTCGCTCACACTCGCCACATATGCGCAGCTGCGGACACCGTGTACGTGAAGGTGGATTTGGAAGACCCTAACACCTTGAAGCAGTTGTTTCCCTTGTTCACCAACGCGTCGACTATCGATGCTCGCGGGTGCGGGATAACTGGTTTGATCGTGTTTACTTTGTTAGTCGTCGAGCAAGCGTTGGCGTTACCGCAACTGCTAGACTTGAAACTTGGCAGTTTGATACACAAAGCGCAGGCTGAAATCATTTTGGGTGGCGGTTTGGCCAAAGGCCTAAAGCTTAGAGGTGGTCTCGGAGCAGACGGTGGACTCCTCCATGTCGACTCGCCGCTCGGACGTTGGGACTGTTTCGAGTGGGTAATGGATGAAGTGGGCGTGGTCACCCGGATAATTACGCGTGGCAAAGCAGAGAATAGGTTCAGATTTTAAAACATTGGACTAAGTTACAAGTTGTACAATAACGCATTGTAATGCCGAATTTGTCTTCCCTTTTGTGTTGCCTCTCACATGATCGCTTCTGCGTCATAAAAACAACCCCTGTCTCTCAGACTCTCTCTGCTTCTGCCACTATGTCGGTCACAACCATCTCTGAGTCGGACCATGACTCGCTTTATAGAGCTCGCTATGACGGTACTTTCTCCGCCATTCGGGAACGCAGCATACGGGGCGGATCACTGTTTCGTTTCGTGGCCACCCACGACTATGGCAATTTGCAGTCTGGGTATACTCAGCGCCGCGACTCCCGAATGTTTGTTATTTTAGGGGAGGTAGATTATGCTTCTGAACCTGTGCGTACATTGCCATTGAATAACAGAAAACTCACATGTCTTCTGCAGGCCATGACCAGCAAAAACGAGAGGAGCGGCCGCCACGTTTGTGTGAGACTTAGACCACCGACGGATGCGAGTTGCCGGGCGGCCTTCGTGTATTTCTCTCAACTCGAGGTGTTACAGAACGTCATGAGCGTTGACTTGGAATACTGTGGCGGGATTCCCAGCGAATCATGGTTCGACGTCCGGGCCAAGTGCTCGGACTGGGTCGCCAAAGATAACTGTTTCTATGCAAGTACTGTCGTTGATCAACTGAATTACATCTCAACCGTTGCCCAGTTCTTCCTGCGGGATCCGTTCTTGGAACACGTCGAGTCAAGCCTGAAGCCTGGTACGGTGATCGAGGTGAATTGCAAAATGGAGCGGTACGACTTCAACACACCTCAGGGCCTCTGCAGGGTAAGACCGCATTCTCGCGCTGGTGTACGCGGATTGACGTTGCGTCCAGCATTATCATTTGTGGTCAACAGGATCAGTTTTGCCCAATCTGTCTGCCTGGCCCAGGAAGGTTGCTGGTTCACCTTGTGATCGGTTTCCGGGTTTCGGGTGTGCTTTTTGCAAAGATCGCCGAGGATGAGTGTCGGTGAACTCCTATATGTTAATTAACAATAAATACTTCTCATGTTGTCTTCACCATCAATGATCCCACTTATTTTGGGCGTTGCGTGCTCACTTGGGACGCTTTTCTGTGTTGTTGATCCTATTGGGATATCTTGCGGACGATCTGAGGTCTGGCGACCTACGAAATTCGCGTTAGAATGAGGAGTTAGTATTCGTGACTTACCGCGAGACTTAAACGTAGATAGCGGGCCCTGCCGCGTCCGACGCGGGCTACCCAGATTATTTTTTGTCTCTAGTCAGTGCGTGAAGGTTCAGATGCGGGCGGCATTTCCCTTTTTGGTGATTGGCAAGTCGCGGCCCGAGATCAAATGGTGATCCGAAGTTGCGACTTACGACTCTGTTCTGCACCAAAAGTACTGTGATTATTTTGGGAAGAATAATGCCATAGAAAAAAATCCAATGACAACATGAATGCGTGATTTTAGATTCCGAAATGTGTGGAGAATAACTCAGCCTAACACCCAACCACCCCCCCGCCTTAAAAAAAAGTATAAGGCCTCACCTTGATTTGAACAAGGGACTTCCTCAAATACCAGTACCATGGAGCTATCAACAGAGGACATGTTACCGCTACACCACGAAGCCATGATTCTAAGCGGTAAGCAGTTGACATTTCGCTATGGAGTGTATAATATGCGTGAATCTAAACAGAAAGTAGATTGCAAGGAAAATATCAATGAGCACACGCGAATGCAGGGATTTAAATTCTGAAGAACTCAGCGTAACAAAAGAGAAACAAAAGAGAAACAAAAACATGAAACAAGCTCCAGAATGGCCTCACCTTGATTCGAACAAGGGAATTCCTCCGAAGAATATCCTCACTAGTCAGTAGAGGACGTGTTACCACTACACCACAAGGCCGTGATGGACTTTACTCGCAAGCAGCTGACATCTCATCATCTTTTAGTTTGAACAAAAATCACAAAGGCTATAGGTATACTTCAGAGCTGCATCCGAGTCCAGTGTAAATTGCAAAGTAAAAAATCCAATGACAACGCGAATGCAGAATTTAGATTCTGAAGCGTGGAGAATAACTCAGCCCGGCCCTCCAAAAAAAAGCATACTGTTGAGACAAAAGGCCTCACCCTGATTCAAACAAGGGACTTCCTCAAATGCAAGCAATACAAGTAATTATCAACTGAAGATGTGTTACTGTTACACCATGAGGCCATGATGCAGTAACTGAGTTGACTGGTAAACAGCAGACATTTCGTCATCTTTTAGTTTGAACGAAAGTCACAAGCCTGCATCCTGCATAAATTGCAAGAAAAATACAAATAAGAACATGCCAATGCGGGGATCTAGGTTCTGAAGAGGAGTGAAGGAAAACTCAGCCTACCCTCCCCCCAAAAAAAGGAATTTTACGATGAGAAGATGGCCTCACCTTGATTCGAACAAGGGACTTCCTCTTTTATGCAAACCTCAAAGAACAAAAGTAGCAGAGAACATGTTACCACTACACTATGAGGCCATGATGGATCTCAGATCATCATAGTATCATTTTGCTATCGAGAGTATAATATGCGTGAATCTAAACAAAAAGTAGATTGCAACGAAATATCAATGAGCACGCGAATGCAGGGATTTAGAATCAAATTCTGAAGAAGAACTTGGAATAACCGCAAAAAAGAATCACCAAACACGTGAATGGCCTCACCTTGGTTCGAACAAGGGACTTCCTCAAATACAGCTGCGCCCATTATCAACTGAAGATGTGTTACCGCTACACCATGAGACCATGATGGAGTAACTGAGTTGACTGGTGAACAGCAGACCTTTAGTCATCTATAGTTTGAACGAAAATCACAAAGGCTATTTTAGAGTCTATATCTAGCGTACGGAAAATACCAATGACAACGCGAATGCGGGGATTTAGATTCTGAATAGTCGAGAACACCTTAGTCAAAACAAAGAAAGAAAAAGCTCAACAGAGTATAAAAATGGCCTGGCCTCGATTCGAACAAGGAGATTCCTCGGAACAGTGGAGAACCGCTTGCGTAATAATAGAGGATGCGTTACCGCTACACCACCAGGCCGTCGGTAATGGTTCGGTTGAGTAAAGTGTGGGGTGTTCTGGAATGCGAGTGCAGGGTTTTCTTTCAACGCCTGGGTGCAGTAATTCAGCGGCGGCTGTCGCCAAGATGGCCAGGAATAAGTCAAGGAAGAATCGGTAGGAGTGGACCGAATGCACGGAAATTGAGGTACTGACGACAGTATTACCACAGCGCCGCCTCGGTGGCGTACCACGAGGCTGTCAAGAATAGTCCAACATTAAACTACATGCTCAACTCAAAGTTCGCTCATGCGGCTTCGACTCTTGAGTTCCACAGTGGCCGCTTCGGCCGACCTGACAAACAACAGCGACGGGGGTAGGACGGCGGGGATGAGAAGGGGATCGATAAGCGCGATAAACGCCGCCTTAAGGCCGCGGGAACAAACGGGGATGGACGTCATTGTCACACACGAGTCACATCCTAGATTTATTGACGGAATAAACCGGAAGCATCTTTCTTGCTTTCTATTTCTCGCTTTGACCGTGTCGATGAAGCACGCTCGATTCTACACAGCGCTGCCCCGCGTCGGCCGTGTCAGATCAAACTCTGCTTCTCGCGCACTCTACACAAACCCCACAACCCTCCCTCTTGGCTCGTTCTTCGATACTCCCCCGCCACCACCCCCAAATACCCGTCTTACAACTCACCGTCTGCCCATCGAGGCCCGCGGTGAAGTCGAAGGCCCCAACAACGCTAACGGCAACGCCAATCCCCATGCCCCGCTCGCACTCGCCGCACCCCACCCCCCAGCGAACCAGCACCCCCACCCCGCACAGCTCGCCCTCCTCTTCCCCTACACACCCGGCCCCGCGCCGAAACACGGGGTAGCACCGTCGACCAGCAGTGCCCGCGCACAGCGCCGCCGCGGCCCGCGGTACACGCTCGACGTTGGCGCGTATGGGATTCCGAAGCGCGGGCATAGGGTGCGGGCGCTGCATACTCATGCGGAGGCGACGGACGCACCGCTGGCGGTGCAGGTCGGCGAGGACGCCTATTTTATTCGCGAGAACGCCATGGGAGTGGCGGATGGTGTTGGTGGATGGGCACGGGTGAAGCATCCAGGTGGGTGCTCTTACTATTTTCTGCTTTCTTTCTTTCTGTTTTTTGGGGGGAACGGGGGGCAGGGATGCTGACCCGTAATTTTTGCGCATCTCAGTGCCATCTAGCATTGTGTTGCTAGGTCGGTAGGCAGTCATCGAGCTCGTTCTCGCGGACCCCCCGCCCACTTACATGTCTGCCTTGATTTCTTTCTCTTTCTTTCCTTGGTCTTTACTCCCAAAAAAATGCACCTCCTCGCGGATCTTGCATATTCATGCGTTGCATCGTCCTACGGAGGGCCACCTCCACCTCCGATCCGACCCGCACTCGCGGCGGTTCTGGGTGCACTGGGTGGCGCAGGCGTATATGCCTCTGCGTTTGCTTGACATTCTTACCCCCTTCCCATTTCACGGCAGCATGTGATTTTGGTGTGGGGGTACTGTAGAGAAAGAGGGAGCCTCTGGATTTCTGCAAACCCGTATTCTATTCTCCCATCTTCCCTCCCAATTCTCTTCCCCACCTCAAAAACACCGCTGACCCATTTTCTTTCACAGCGCCCCCCACAGGCCCAAGCGCCTCCGCTCTCTTCGCACGCCGCCTCATGCACTTTTGCGCGGATGAGGTTGATCGGGCGTCCCACCTTCACTTATCTGCGCCAGTCGCATCGACCTCGCGACAGCAGCAGCAACAGCAGCCGGTGGTAACGCCGTGGCGCCCGCCATCGCGATTCGCGCCGTACCCTGCGTCGTCCCCGCCGTCATCTTACATGGCCTCCCAACCTTCAACGTCCGCCTTCGCTTTCCCCTCTTCGTCGTCTTCGACAGCCGCGTACGAGCCGTGGCAGACGGACTCGCCCTACGCCTCGTACGCGGGTGCGGGGTCCGCGTCGGCGTCGTACGCGGGGTCCTCGCGTGCGACGTTCCACGCCCCTCCCCCTCCCTCTTCTTCCTCGTCGTCGCCATACGCCGACTTTTCCCCGTGGAGCGAGCCCTCCTCCTCCTTCTCCTCCCCCTTCGCGGAATACGACCAAGAATACGACTTCGACTACTCGCCCCCCGCGCCCGCGGACCTCCTCGCCGCGGAGCTGGACGAGCTCGCGGAGGGGCTGGACGTGTTGATGATATTGGAGCGGGCGTATGAGCGGACGTTGGGGGCGCATGTGGTGCCTGTGCCGTCATCGAGTGCGCAAACTTCACAAGGGGAGCGGACGGAGGGGGCTGCGCCGATACCCACAACCGGGACAGCGACGAAGCACCCGACACCCCCACCGGCGCCGGGGATGTGGCCCTTTGCACTGCCTACGCCAACGAAGACGAAGGCGCAGGCACAGACGGAAAGAGAGAAGGAGAAGACGATCCCCCTCCTCGCGGGGAGTAGTACCGCGCTTGTTGCGGTGTTGGATTACGTGCCGGCGGGGGAGGTGGTCGGGTTCGCGCTCGATGGTGCATCCGGTGCATCAAACGCGGCTCAGGGTGCTGGGGTTAGTGGGAATGCGACGCACACCTCTAGCGCGAGCGGTGGAGCGAATACGAATCCGCAGACGAAGACGAAACATACGACAACGAAAACCGACTCCGGACGCGAGCAAGACCTCACCCCCGTCCTCAAGATCGCGCACGTGGGGGACTGCATGGGGATGCTCGTGCGCGGGGGGCGGTCGCGTGGCGGAGCGAGGAGATGTGGTGGCGGTGGAATACGCCGGTGCAGTTGAGTGCGGTGGGTGCGCGTGACTCGTCGACGCAGACTGCCGCGACACCAGCTGGTGGGTCGACCTCGACGAGGGTGGGGTCCCTCGTGTCGGCGGGGTGGTGGGGCTCGACGTCTTCGAACGCCTCGGCAGCGAGCACCAGCGCACGAACGGCAGCAAGTGCATCGAGTGCAACCACAAGCACAAGCACAAGCACAAGCACGCACGCGGAAATCACCCCCACCTCCGCTGCGCACCTCTTCACGCTCCCCGTGCAGGCGGGCGACATTGTGATCCTCGCGAGCGACGGGTTGAGCGATAATCTGTGGGATGAGGATGTGTTGGAGGAGGTGGGGAGGGTGGGGCGGGCGTGGGCTGCTGCTTCTTCGACTGTGAATTCGGATGTGGGCTTGAGGGAGAATGAGAGGGAGAATGGCGGGACGAGGGCGTGTTTGAGATCAGCGAGTTGGAGGAGGGGAGCACGAGCACGAGCACGAGCACGAGCACGAGCACAAGTCCGAGCAAGACAACGACAGAGGCCGTGGACGGCGCGCGCCTGCGCCGCCGGACCCTCGCGGGGATGCTCAGCGAGGCGCTGTGTTCGCGCGCAAGGAGGGTGGCGACGCGCAGGGCGGGGAGGGAGAAGGGAAGGTCGTGTGCTGTGTCCGTGTCTCCTGCGTCCTCGTCGGCTTCGAGTTCGAGCTCCGTTTCGAGTTCGTCTTCGGCCTCCGCGAGTTCTTCGGTGGAGGGACCGAGTTCGCTACCTGCGCCGCGTACATCAGCAGCGGAGGGAACGGCGTCGTCGGGCTCGCTCCCGTTGAGGGCAGAGGAAGCTGAAGATGAGGACGAGACGCCGTTTGCGCGGCGCGCGCGCGAGACGGGGAGGGTGTATCGTGGGGGGAAGAATGATGGTGAGTTTGATTTTTTGTGTGTGTGCTTAGATCGGATGCTAACCACAATATCTCTTTTCTTCTTACAGACATCTCGGTGATCGTCGCGGTCATCGCGCCCGCGGAGGAACAGCGCGGACGAGGACGGGGGCGGGGGCGCGTGGAGGCGGCGCGTGCGGCGGGATCGTGAGGCCCCCTCGTATCGTACGTCGGCTCGCTCTCGGTATTTATGGGCTCTGGCGCCACGCGCGTCTTCGTCTTCGATATACATGCATGCGCTCCGGCACGACACCGACATATGCGCCTCCGATATACGTATATGCGCTCTCACATTCGATTTGGATACGGATATGGATACATCAACACCTCCACTCATGATCATATCCTACAACACGCGCGACTGGCTAGAACGATATGGTACCTCTTCTGCTGGATATTGGCATTGACATGCATGCATCCTAAAATTCCTCAATGGCCAATGCCACATCGATACTTATTACATGCGATTCGATGCAGATTTGTGTACAAATATAGGGTTGTATAGTAGAGAACAGAGATGTACAGTATGAATATGGGCAATAGTGCTGACTGGACAGGAAAGACGATTAAAAGTACATGGAGAAAAGATGGTCCAGGCGAGAATTCGGAGAAAGTGTGTGGCGGTGTTCCGGTTCGCTCCGGTACGGCGTCCCGCTTCCGACGTTGAAGAACTAACACCGCGTCTGCGGTTTTACGCCCTTCGATGTGCACTATCGCCGTCGGAATCTCGTCGTCTAAGCCCGCTGCGGCGTTATCATTTATGGATGTCTGACTGCTCTGTACCAAGCACGCTCTGCAGCAGTGCTTGTGTCACTTGGCACTGGCATCAAGATTTAAGACGAGACAAGTTGAATGAATTCACACTGACGCCACCTCAGTGGCTTTCAGCGAGCGAGCTATCATGATCAACGGCCTGGTGGTGTAACGGTAACACACCCTCTACTGCTATTCTCCACATGGGATGTAAGGAGGTTTCTTGTTCGAACCAAGGTCAGGCCTTGCATAGGAACATTGTTTTTTCTTTTCTGTCCTAGGCCGGGCCGTCCGTTAGATTTGCCTCATCCTCCTCCCATGTATTAGTTTTTTGGCGCTTGTGTAACACACTTAGAGCGGCAGTTGCATCTCACAAATGTTTGGTTGAATTCTGGAGATTGTATTCACAATTTACGACAAAACCAACCAGTGTATTCAAAATATAGGAAAAAGACGAGATAAAGAAAAATATAGTAGTACAGGTAATGAAACTCGTAATATTGAAAATATTGGCCATGAGCTCAATCACACTCCTAGGTGAATGAATGGTATCCAGCGCTCGTATCCAACATTCTGAGCCTTCAGCTTATTTACTGCCATTTGCAATGCCTCTGCTGCATCACTGGCTTTAGCTTGTCCACCATTTCGGAAGAGCTGAGAGTACACAATTTCAGAAACCAGTGGTCCGTCCAAGTCATTCATAGACCATAGGGTTCCAATAGCCCCTCGGAAACCAGCTGCAATAAATCCTCCACCCAAATGGAATGATTCATTCACTAGCACACTGTCCCCCATGGCTGTCTGGCATGCAGCGAGGAACACAAACTGGGCATCAGAGAGTGGCATCTGGAGGATGGTGTCCAGCTCCAGACTTCCTCCATATAATTTGAGATAGCTTTTGGTAGGGTCAATCAAATCCTGTTTTCCATGGCAGGCCAGGTGAACCCAAGAACACGTCTGAAGTTGGTGGGTCACGGCATCCACTGTCGCTTGTGGTCCTTCAACACAGTCAATTTGTGACTTTGGGATAATTGACAGAATTTTTTCAACCTCCTTCTCTACTCCCTTGAGATAATTCATTCTTCCACTGCCAGTGTGTGTAACTCCAACGAGGCCAACTCTGGGTGCAATGTTGGATGTTTTCTTGTCATAAGCATCCAGAAGTGTTCCTAGTGTTGCTGTGTATGAATGGATGAATTGATCTGTAGGAGAGCATGCATGCAGAGGCAGTCCTGTAAATGCACCAGTTGGCAACCACCAGAGTCTGCCACTATGGATTTCATGCTATATTGTGGATGTTAGCTTAGATAAATTCTGGGAGAGGAAACCATTTTCACTGACTGATTTTAAATGCTGAAAGACAGGAGAAACAATATGAGTCCAGAGCCAGAGTAGCATATCTGTGAAACACTCTGTGGTTGTTTTAGATGAGAACAATTCTTGCCGACCAAAGAGTCTTGTTGATGAAGATTCCCCTCTGGTTCTGACATTACAGCGCTGGAGCAATTCCTTGAGCAAGATTCTCTGTGATTCCAACAGTTCAAGTGTCACATCTGGAAGAGGAACATGGATTGGCTCTGAAGTTGGATTGGGAATTATAATTCCATCACAGCAGTCTTCATTACTGTTGAGAATTATAATAGGTCCTCCTTGTGCTGCCTCGCAAAGTGCTTGATATTTCTTTGCACACAAAAAGTCCTCAAAACCTGGCTGACCCCGAATATGATCAAGCAATTTATTCCTTTCAATGACAAGAGCCAGTGGATTGGCAGACTTTCTGCTATACAGCTCTGATGAGTAATTTTTCAACTTCTCAGCCTGCTCAGAAGGGAGTTTATCCACGTCTGTCTTCAACTGCAACATTTGCTGGAAAATAGTAGCTAATCCTTGCTCCATGATCTCAACAGCGGAAGTCAGGTCACCCAGATCAATGCACATTTTTACAGCTGTTGAAGTGGCCTGTCCAATATCAAGCCTGCGGATTGCATTGTGCTGCACATCAACAGAATGACCAATCCAGAGGATTTCAGGAAGCACTTTAAAGGCAGTCATGTAGGGAGGTAAACACTTGGAGGGATCGAATTCTGTTGCAAAAGAACCCCACTCTAGTGCTGCTGTCCAGAAAGCTTCAGGATTTAACATAGGGGCTTTGAAAGAATTGCGGTAACAAATGTGGACTTTAGACAAATCACTGGGCTCCTTGAACTTGACATAATGCTCTTGGAAAGACAAGGCAAGCTGCTGGAGACGACCTGCTTGAGCAGGATGCCCTTCTGGTGTCAAGTCTACTGCTTCTTGGTCATACTTCAGAGCAGCTTTGAGATCCTTTTCATCTCCCAATTTGGTATATCGATGTGAGAAAGACCGAGCCAGACTTTGCAGACGCTCTGCCTTGTCAGCATGCCCCTTTGGTGTCAGATCAACAGCTTCTTGGAACTTCTGCAATGCAGCCTCAAGATCAGTCAGATTTTCTGACCTCAGATACCGATCCCGAAAAGACATAGCCAGGCTTTGTAGGCGTCCAGCTCTGCCAGGTCCTTCTGGGGTTAGATCTAATGCTTCTTGATCATTCCTCAGTGCAGCCTCAAGATCCTTTAATTCTTTCAGTCTCTTATATCGATCTGAGAATGCTACAGAAAGACTCTGCAGGTATCCTGCTCTATCAGGATGCTCTTTGGGTATGAGATCTACTGCTTCTTGCAATTTTGGCAGTGCAGTCTCTAGATCTTTCAAGTCTCCAAGCCTCTGATAGCGATCTCGTAATGCCAGTGCAAAACTTTGCAGGTACCTTGCCCTATTGGGATGACCTTGTGGAGTAAGATCCAACACTTCTTGGGATTTCTCCAGGGCAGTTTGGAGGTCTCCTAATTCTGCCAACCTTTGAAATCGATCTCGAACAGATACAGCAAGTTGTTGCAAATAGGCTGCTCTATCAGAATCTCCTTCTGAAGTTAGATCTAGTGCTTCTCGGTCTTTCTGTAGTGCAGCCTCCAGGTCAGACACTTGTCCCAACCTTTGATATCGATGTGCAAGTGACACAGCAATATTTCTCAGACACCCTGCCCTATCTGGGCCCCCCTCTGGCAAGAGAGACAGTGCTTCTTGCAGTCTCTGCAAACTAGCCTCCAGATCCTCCAGGTCTTCCAGCCTTTTGTATTTATCCCCCAAACATGCAGCAAGGTTTTGGAGATGCTCTGCCCTCTTAGGAGCATCATCAGTGTGGGTAAGCTCCACTGCTTCTTGCAAGTGCTGTAAAGCAGCCTCATGGTCTGCTAATTGTCCTAGTCTTTGATATCGATTCCGAAAAGATATGCCAAGGCTCTGAAGACGAGCTGCTCGATCAAAATCATCTTTTGGAGTCAGGTCTACTGCTTCCTGGTCCTTCTGCAATGCAATCTCAAGATCCTTCAATTCACCCAACCTCTGGTACCTATCTGTGAATGCTAGAGCAAGATTTTGTAAATGCCCAGCTCGATAGGGTTCTTGTGGGGTGAGATCTACAGCTTGCTCAAAGTTCTGTAATGCAGCTTCAAGATCCTTCAACTCTCCTAGTCTTTTGTATCGCTTTCTAAAAGACATGGCAAGACCTTTGAACCGGCGAGCTATATCGTGGTCCTCAGGCAGGGGTAACTCTACTGCTTCTTGAAGATGTTCCAGAGCAGCCTCGAGATCAGTGATCTCTCCCAAAGTTTGATATCGATCTGTGAATGAAATAGCAAGATTTTCCAAGCGGTTTGCTCTATCGGGATGTTCTTTTGGAGTCAGTTGGACTGCTTGTTGGTCATTCTGCAGGGCAGCCTCAAGATCTTCCAGTTCTCCCAACTTTTGATATCGAGCTGTGAATGCCACTGCCAGGTTTGCCAAACATTCAGCCCTTTCAGGGCCGGGGTGACCCTGACTGAGGTCCACAGCTGTTTGGAAGTTCTGTAAAGAAGCCTCGAGATCATCCAAGTCCTCTGAATCATTATATTTGTCTCCATACATTATTCCCAATATTTGTTGATATCTGAGAAAATCTGGATGTTCTCGAGGTGTCTGTTGAACAAGTTGCCGGATTCTTTCTATCATGTCTGAGCTTCCATCCTAGGAACATGATTTCAGCCTTTTATTAGTGAATTCACTATGCACTCACTCCAAATATCGTAAAAATCTGGCTGTCTGTCGAGCCAGAGTCAGTGACCCACTCATCATCAGAGCCTTCAGACATTGGATCCTGTCTTCTATCAGCCAGGCTCATATGCAGAAGTAAATTCTCCCTACAGATTGTGCAGACATCTGAACAGTGTTACGAAGGTGTTACTCGAAGGGTGGAAGAAAGAAGAAGAGATGGATATCACCCTTTATATAGCATCCACCTGATCAAAAGAGTCACGAGTCAATTCCCACACCCCTCTGTGTTTTCAGGAGCCCAATGACTTGTCTGTCCAAAAATTTTGTCCACTTCCACGGCCGCAGAAGCAGGAGTTGAGAAAGAGGCTTAAGAAAGCACATGGGCCAGCCGCCATTGATGTGATATTTGCCCGCAGAGTTGAAAAATGAGTTGAAATTTGAAAAGAATAATTTATAATTTGTGTTCGCACCAAGTTCGCACCTTCGGATAGAACAAGGACTCGGAACTATGGATTTTTCTTCATTCAACGAGAACTGGGACTATAGTAAACCCTGGCAGAAAATGTGTTTTCAGGGAAATTACGATTCGGGGGTATGTAATTTAAGTGTAATTTTATCTGTGGTGAGGAATTTTGTAACTGAGGATTGAGGCCTTGAGGCTCTAACGTTCAGAAATTATCGTCATTGCTTGTACAACATGAATTGAACCAAAGTCGCGTCAGATGTTCAATTTTTAAACGCTTTGTGGCCAATCCTCGACAAAAAAAAATCAGGATTACTCAGTGCTGCCAATAACACTTAAATTCTGTACCATGAGTTAAATGATCCTTTCATTCCGGTATGTTGTAAGTGTGTATATGCCATATGCACATCCTTCTGTTCGGTTATCCGTGACCGAACACACGAGTCAGAAGGCAAAGAGGACACCAAGTTCAACCGTTACTGAAATATGATTTATTTACATATGATCAGGAAGTACAATCGATACTGGCAGGACCTGCTAGTGGACGATGGAAGGGAAAGCAACAGGATATGAAAGTGTGTTTCGCCACTGGAATACGGGTCGAACAATCATTCCAAGTCATATATTCTGCGCGGCAATGCTGTGCGGAAGGTACTTGTCGACATTGGTTTTAACCCTTGGGTCCACCTTACCCAATATATCCACCAGTTCGTCCCTGCAATCAAAGAATTAATTCTGACATAACAATCTTCCAGGGGACCAGACGAACCAGATGCGATCCTGCGCCTTGGCACCTTGTGCGCTGAGGACATAATCGCTGACCTCCTGCACTTCACAACCGGCCGAAAACTCGCCCCGAAGTTTATCAGGCTGATCTGGATATGCCAGTGCCGCCCATACGAGCCGCCGGCTGCCCACCTCCGTCGTGAATGCGAGGGCCCGTTCCATGAGATAATCGAACACAGCCCTGACACCCGTCAAGCCGCGCCGCAATTCAGAGTAACAATAGCCCGGATCAACAGCGTGCACTATGAGGGGCGTGGAGGGCGGGAGGCGCGCATTCAGAGCGCGGACGAAGAAGAGGTTGAGGACTGAAAAATTAAATTAATTAACAGCTGGACGGAACCGAGTATTGAACCCGTACGCTTGGTGAGTGGATATCTATCCCCCATGATCCTGGAGGTACGTCAATTGAGCTGCTTTAGGTATGCCAACGCGCTGCGTACTTCTTTGTACAATATTCTGCGCTTCCAATCGTCTTGAGTATATCCGGATTCTCGGCCACGCGTTTGTCGATCTCAGACCAATAGTGCATTCCGCTCGAAACGACTACGAGCCTGGGGACCGTGGAATGTTGTTGGGCCGTTTTGATCATCACCGGAAGGAGGAGGAAGGCCAAGAGTGGGGTGGAGAGACAATTGACCTGGAGACTAGTACACTATATTAGTACTGGCACAGTGGGGGAATAGAAGAACTCACGAGGATTCCCACCCGTCCTTGGTGGCGTCGTAATCGAAAGTCGCGAGTGCCGCATTCTCGACGAGAATATCGAGACGGCCCCCATCGCGCTCGAATTTATCTGCAAATTGCTTCACAGATTCAAAATCGGCAAGGTCGATGATCCACAGCTCTGCCTTCGCGTAGCCCGTGGCGGCTTTCAATCCTGACACGAGAAATACATAAGACAGTCAAAGGTTCAAAACGATGGCACAACGTACTGTCCACTGCAGTCTGTCCCTTGCTTCGGCTTCGGCAGGCGAGGATAAGCTGTCCTGGATTCATCGTCGCAAAGTGCTTTGTCGCCTCAAATCCAAGACCAGTATTCGCTCCCAAAACGATGACCGTTTTCCCGCTGAGATCAGCTTTGACCACAGGCTTCTGCCTGCTCCATTGGCTCGCGATGAAATTCCAAAGTCCGGGACGCATGACGGTTGAAAAGAAAACAGTCGCGAGGGAAGAACAGCGTAGAGGCCATTTTAAAGCCGGTGAACTATCATCAAGTAACGACAAGGGAAGCCGCGCTGACGCGTCAGCTGTTACGATCGTTCATGCTTCCCAACTTCTTCCCATTAACGTGAGCGAGGACATATTGGTCAGCCCGCAAGAAAGAAGAAGGTATACAGCGGGGTTGCAGCGGGGTGCGAAGAAATGTAGCCCAAAAAAACCTGTCAAGCTCGCACGTTCGGTAAGTTGTAATTCATGGTTCTCACGGAAGGAAGGAAAGAAGGAAGGAGGTGGATATTGAGGGATGATTGTTATGCTCTGAAAGAAATCCACGTTATTCTGCACAACACAAAGTGATGTGGTCAAGAATATAAATGAGGCCGTCACAAGTACCTCAAAGTAGGAGAGACGGCGACAAACACTGTGTATAAGGTAAAAGATGCCTCCGTTCTCGTCTCGTACCCAAAGAGCCAGCAATTCCGAGTTTCCAACAATGTGCTCGCGTACCAGCGCTCCGTCTTCCCACTGCTCATGGGCGTCGTGCGGGATATCGAACGCGTTACACCGTCCTTGGAGCGTAGAAAGAGGAAGCGAGGTCGAATACACCGAGTCAGGGATTGCAGACACCGGCGATGGAACATACATTCTGTCGGCCAAAAGAGAGGAAGGAAAGAAAGCCAGTAATAAAAATGCGAGCAGGGACGATCTGTGTATCAGCAACAGGTCCACGAGAATGAGGGCCGGGAGGCTAGACAACACAACAAAAAAACCTAGAGGTCTGGCAATGCATCCAGAGACGTCCAAAGGGTACGAGACCACAGTCTCCGAAGAAGAGGAAGAACAACACAAGAAAAAGTAGCGGCATACCTGGATGCTTCACTCTAGCCCATCCACCCACACCATCCCATACCCACAGCGTTCTCACGGATAAAGTATGCGTCCTTGCCCGCCTGCACCGCGAGCGGTGCGTCCGTCGCCTCCGCATGAGTATGCAGCGCCCGCACCCTATGGCCGCGCTTCGGAATACCATACGCGCCGACGTCGCGTGTATGCCTCGGCCCGCGGCGGCGCTGTGCGCGAGAACTGCCGGTCGACGGTGCTACCCCATGTTTCGGGGCGGGGCCGGGGGTGTAGGGGAAGAGGAGGGCGAGCTGTGCGGGGTGGGGGTGCTGGTTCGCCGGGGGTGGGGCGCAGCGAGTGCGAGCGGGGCGTGGGGGTTGGCGTTGCCGTTAGCGCTGTTGGGACCCTCGACTTCACCGCGGGCCTCGATGGGCAGACGGTGAGTTGTAAGGCGAGTATTTGGGGGTGGTGGAGGGGGAGTATCGAAGAACGAGCCAAGAGGGAGGGTTGTTGGGTTTGTGTAGAGTGCGCGGGAGGCTGAATTGGATCTGACACGGCCGACGCGGGGCAGCGCAGTGTAGAATCGGGCGTGCTTCATCGACGCGGTCAAAGCGAGAAATAGAAAGCAAAGAAAGATGGCTTCCGGTTTATTCCGTCAATAAATCTAGACTGTGACTCATGTGTGACAATGATGTAACTTCTCCGTTTGTTCCCGCGGCCTTAAGGCGGCGTTTATCGCGCTTATCGATCCCCTTCTGAGTTCTCATCCCCGCCGTCCTACCCCGGTCCCCGTCGCCTATGGTCTACATCAATGAGACGTCGGTCCGAAGCCGCAGGAGCAAACTTGAGCTGAGTTAATATTTTTGAGTCTTATCCTTCGATCTTGACGGCCTCGTGGTACGCCACCGAGGCAGCGCTGTGGTAATGCTGGCGTCAGTACCTCAATTTCCCTGCACTCGGACCACTCCTACCGATTCTTCCCTTGACTTATTCCTGGCCATCTTGGCGACAGCCGCTGAACTACTGCACCCAGGCGTAGAAAGAAAACCCTGCATTCGCATTCCAGAACACCCCACACTTTACCCAACCAAACCACCGTCGACGGCCTGGTGGTGTAGCGGCAACACGTCCTCTGATCATTCCAGTATTCCTCCCTAGTTCTGAGGAAACCCCTTGTTCGAAGCAAGGCCAGGCCATTTTTATACTCTGTTGAGCTTTTTCTCTCTGTGTTTTGACCAAGTTGTTCTCGTCTCTTCAGAATCTAAATCCGCGCGTTCGCGTTGTCATTGGTATTTTCCGTACGCTGGATGTAGCCTCTGTAGTATAGCATGTGTGATTTTCGTTCAAACTATAGATGACTAAAGGTCTGCTGTTTACCAGTCAATTCAGTTATTCTATCATGGCCTCATGGTGTAACGGTAACACATCTTCAGTTGATATTGTTCAGCAATTTGAGTTTGAGCAAGTCCCTTGTTCGAATCAAGGTGAGGCTATTCACGTAGTTGTTGGGATTTTTTTTTTCCGGTTATTCCAAGTTCTTCAGAATTTGATTCTAAATCCCTGCACTGGCACTCGCGTGTGCTCATTGATATTTTCCTTGCAATCAATCTACTCTTTGTTTATATTCACGTCTATTACACTCAATAGCGAGATGTCAATATGATGATCTAGCATTCAACACGGTCTCATGGTGTAGCAGTAACACATCCTAAATTGGTTTTTGATGACTAATAGGGTCCCTTGTTCGAATCAAGGTTAGGCCATTCATGAGTGCGTGAATCTTTTTTTTTTTTTTTTTTTGGGGGGGGGGGGCGAGGGTAGGCTGAGTTTTCCTTCACTCCTCTTCAGAGCCTAGATCCCCCGCATTGGTGTGTTCTTATTTGTATTTTGCTTGCAATTTATGCAGGATGAGGCTTTGTGACTTTTGTGCAAACTAAAAGATGACAAAATGTCAGCTCCCTTGCAGGATTGATCATGGCCTTGTGGTGTAGTGGTAACACATCCTCAATTGATTGCTCCAAAAATTGATCAAATGTGAGGAAGTCCCTTGTTCGAATCAAGGTGAGGCCATTCTCGTGGTTTAAACTTTTTTCGTGTTAAGGTTCAGAATCACGATAACAAAATGGCAGTTACTTGTCAATGACTCTGAGATCCATCATGGTCTTGTGTTGTAGCGGTAACATGTCCTCAGTTAATGGGTGGGAATTTGTGTATGAGGAAGTCCCTTGTTCGAGTCAAGGCGAGGTCATTCGTGCTGGGTGAATCTTTTTTTCGGTTCTTCTTCGGGATCCGAGTCGCTGGCCTGTGTCAATGCGAGAATGCTTATATATGTGGGGCAATTTTTGGGGATCAGAATTGGTACTCAAGAGGACGGGAATGGAGATACAAGGAGAAAGCCATTTACTCAGCTTCGACTCACAGACAGCCTGTTGAAATCGAATATCATCTGCGCTTAGAATCCAGAAAAAAATGGTGGACGGAAGAACAGGAGACGATTTCAAAAACTCCAAGTAGATGAGAATCTTTGAACAAGAGAATTGAAGTTCGAAGCTGCAATTGTTTAGATCCCAAATGTACAGTAAGATGGGAACAGCTAAACGTGTGCTAACCAGGTTTTCCGTGCAATCGAGGCTGGAATGCGACGCCTCATCCACTGACAGCCTGAATTCCCACGGTTCATTTTTTCTCGACGTCTGTCTTGGCATACAGTTCCAGCTCAGCAAATAGCGCTGATATACAGTGTGATCATGATTCCATGAGTGTAACTTGAGAGGGAGTGAAACGTGAGCTTTTACTGTAAACCTTGAGTGTTCGGGCGTACTAAGTGCAGGGTTTGTTATTTCGGTACCACTGGTGTATGTGTGAACTTCTCTCTCCATGACCGGACTTTTCCATGCTCTCTGAATTGCTTCGGTCCTTCAACGCGCCGATGCTAGCTGTACGGATACATGCGAAACAACATTCCAAGATGTTGACCCAGTCTAAAACATTACTTCGGTACTTCAAACCTAGAGGTGTTGCTCGCGGGAAATATGCTCCCGAGAATTTTAATTGATTTGAGCACCAAAAATAAGACACACGTGAACAAATATGCGAAGGAAGGATACATGACAGGGAAAAAGACAATTAACTCGGAGGGATCTTGGGTCCCATTATGTAGAGACACCCAGAGCCTGAGACCAGGGTCACTCACAAATAGACAAAATAATCGATTGCTTACCACCAATGCCTGCCTCGCCGCCTCTTCCTTGGCAGCGGCCTTCGAATCAGCAACACCGATGCCTTTTTAACAACAGATTAGTATAAGGTGAAGGTTACAAATGCTGTCGCACCTTTGGCCTCGCCGGACACTTGAAGGGACGGTGAACAAGACGGTAAATCACAAAGTATGGTGACTAAGCTTCCTCGTACCTTTGCATACCACTGTCCACTTGATTTCATAGGCAGGGCCAGCGGAGGACTCAGCCCAACTCAGGGTATGGCTTGCTTGCTTGGCCTGGAGGTCTGGGGGATCAATGAGAAGGACGCACAACAGTGAGATTGAGGCTTTGGAGTACAGTTGTTCAGTAGCGTTATAGACCTTCTCCAAGGACGATGATCCCAGTTCGAACCTGATGAACTGATAAGAGCTTCGTTGGTCATGTTGTTTGGCGGCAAGGAGGGCGGGAGTTGACTCATGAATGAATGCTCATCCTCAGATTCATTGGCACGACTCGGTTGGATGGAAATTCCGTCTGAATCTGCCTGGCTCTCAGAATCCTCTCCACCGGGCTCGTCCTCATCGCACTCAACCGATGAACCAGGCTCAGGCTCGGGGATGGAATTATCGTGGGCTGAGATATCCTCCGTTGGCGCCTCCGAAGAAGGCACAAATTCCTGAGGATTATTGCGTGACAATAGTGCCCGCAACCACCCTGGAATCCACTTGGGCCTTTTGGTCGAGGATGTAAGTTTGTTTCTCCTGTGGCCACTTCCGAGTTTATACAAGCCCGAATACCATCTGCGAAGACTGCCGCCAAGTGTCGTCCACCGAAGGGATATAGTAGCCTTGGTATACACGACTCGCGGGGCACAGAACCCAGGTCCTGAACGGAATCGTTTACCAAGTCGCCGATGCTCCGAAGGCTGATGTCTATAGACAGAAAATTTAGTATGGTGTGGGGGATGTGGGACTATGTTGGACACTCGCGATCGGCGTGGGTTTGTGAGATCTTATTTGGGCTTTTGAATGGGATCGTGAATATCCCACCCATTATTGCCAAATCAGACGTACGCTCTGGTCAAAACATCCAATGTCTCGGGTGTAGTGTCGGTGATAATATGCTTGATGCCGGGACCAGTCGCAAGCGTGGCTGACGCCGGTAGAAGCCGTTCAGCCCGTGGCCTAGAAGAAATTAAGTTGCGAATTTAGGACAAGGATACAGAGAGAAAAACATGCCGACGCAGTAACCGCACGATCTCAGTGAGGTTGCGATACCAGTACTGTGTTTTAGGGTCCTCCGTATGCCAGTCCAAGACACCAATCAATATCGCGCTGGCCATGGAGTCGATTCCCTCCTGGTCAAAAATTATACCACTCTTGTCTTCGTCCGAGTCTTCGTCCGAGTCCACCCCGAGGTCATTCAGAACGCATATGATACGGTCTAAAATTTTGGTGAATACAGTGACATGTATTACGCCACTTTCTTGCCAGAAGGTGGGTAGTTCCAGGACCCCGGCCAAATATCGTTGGGCAAGAGCATCGGAGATGGAATTCGCACTGTGTAAGTATAAAATCAAAATCAATAATGATAGTTCTGGAAGATAATATCATACCTGGATTCCGACGCAACCAACAGGCGCTCGATGACGCTAAAATCGCCGTTGATAGAGCCCAAACATCGGGGCGAAATATTCCCAAGAATTGGAGAAATTTCCTTTTCAGAGAGACAGGCTGCCGCAAATTGGCAGTAATAATCCCATTCGTGAGGCTGTGTGTCATCCGCGCGGGCCCAAACCGCAGAGATCAGCGCCTCCGTATTTCCAGCGCATCTGAGGTATTTGGATTTGAGCAAGAGCCCACGCGTCCCGTGGTATCGTGTTGCGATCGTGACAATACACTTAAACGTCGCGACCTGCGTCTGTGCCGTTTCACATCTACGAATCTTCAGTCGAACCAGGACCTTGATAGAAATAAGTTTCACCAACGGCAAAGCATATTTGAGAAGCCTGGAACATTCATCCTCCAGCCTTGGATAGCTGTCAACGAGCAAAGTGTCAAGGTTGGCTTCTCGCTGCGATCCTGTGCCGAAGAACGCAGCGATGCGGTCGGCGGTCGCGGAAGGACCTCTGCCCCAGCGATATGCGGCGCGGTTCACCTTCCTCCCCAAATAGTCGCCGACGTGCGAATAGACTTGGTTCAGCGTTCGTCCGGCCGCAGGATCGCTCAACGAGCCACAGACAAGTTGCATCTGCAGCTCGTGAGCCCTTTGGTCCAGGTGAATCAGAGCTGTGGAAGTATTGGTCGACATGGTCGGGAGGAATACGAGATAGGAACGTTCAAGATTCAGTTCAACCTGTCAGTGTCATGTAGCGCACAGCATCTACGTGTTGTTGTTGTACAGCACCTAAACGCTGGTCAAGAATCCGTTTCGAGAAAGCCTAAATTTAAACTAGTTACAGCTGTAAAGGAGACAACAGCCAGCAGAAGTTCACTGGCAGTTCATTCCGAGCGTTGAGGATGCTTTCTAGAACCCAGGCACAGGTCACAGCCAGCAGAAGTAAAAGCAAAGGGAAGGAAACAAGTCGGAGCTCGGCCCGATGATTGATGGCGGAGTTTAAAACTGGGTCTGCCGCCGAAAGAACTTGAAGTAGCACAGAAGAAGTAAGAACATATATCTGCCATCATATTAATACAAATCGATTAGGAGTGAACTAAATCAAACGTGCCAGTGTTGTATATGTTTGCTGGGAAACTTGATTCGCGTTCAGTCGCGTAATAAGTATGAGCTTTCGCTTTGTGAACACTTGCCTGTTTTGGTTTTTTTTGGGCGAGGTCATGTAATTAGTCCTGGTTCTAAGAGACATGGACGATAATTGCGTGTTCGTCCTTGACATCAACTGAACCAAAGTCACGTGGAGGATGTCCAAGTTGAAAACTTCAGAAAAGAACACAACTCTTGGTTTGAGATCTCAGACTGTGCAACGAAAAACAAGGGAGATGGCACAAGTGATCCAGGCGTTCTTAACCCTACCCACAAATCTATTTATCCTTCATTTGGGCAGAGATGTTAAAGCAAGTAATTATTTACGAAAAACTGGGGACTGTTTCCCTTCCCCCATATGCTGAACCAGCCTGCGGATCCACAGGGCACCTCATCCCTCACATCGTCTTACATAGTATTCAAGTTCCTGCCACTTCCGACTGACCAAACACATTTTTTGCTGTATCTTGCCAGCCTGTGATCCGTTTGACTTTGTCTTTCGAGGATACTCGGCCTAACGTAGAAAAAATATCTCCTTGATCATTGTGCAACATTAGCATTGCGAGATGCGACTTACAGGTACTTCGCCAGAGCGGCTACAACCTCATTGTCTCACCCAGGCTCTGTCGCACCAAACAGTTAACCAAAATCCTTGAAGCCGAGACGATCGGCGGGCACCCATGAAACAGAATTGAGATGCGAAAATTCTTCAATACGCGCATCTCATGGAATATCTTAGTATGGTGCCGGTTCCCCTCAGGATAAAATTCAGTATGCCTTGAGCGAGGAGGACGTTACTTTGCAGCGGAGGATTTTGAGCCCGAATCGAAATGGCATTGTCCGTCACCGGAAATGTATATCATCTTTTGCTTAAGAAATACACATCAGTGCAAAATCAGGACACCTGCGCGTGGTGCTTCGGCTCTCTCTGCTCCGGACGCCATTAGCAAGCAAGGTTTAAGATATGTAAACAGAATGGGTAAAGAGCGATAAATTGACCATAGCTGGCGCAACGCACTAGCAAAAAAAAAAAAATCAAACGAATTCCTTGGTCGGAATGGTTTCCACCACGGGAACAGCGGGGCCATCCAGCTCCACGACGTCACCCAAAGTCCAGGCAGCAGCCAACTTGGGCGGCGGGGGCGGCACCTCGACCTTTTCCACGCCGTGCCTCGCGACAGCGCGGTGACGGATGGTGAACGCAGCACAGAGCACTACGATTTAATAATGAGTAAGTACGGATGGACCATCCGGGCCAGCGGAACCAGCCCACAGGTTAGGATCT